ATAGAAATGAATCGAAATCTATAGATATATAGAAATAATATGGAAATATAAAGAAATGTATGGAAATAAATAGAAGTCTATAGAAATGTATAGATATATAGAAGAAATATATGGAAATATAAAGAAATGTATGGAAATAAATAGAAATCTATAGAAATATATAGATATATAGAAATATATGGAAATTAATAGAAATCTATAGAAATGTATAGATATAATATAGAAATATATGGAAATATAAGGAAATGCAAAACAATGGAAATCTATAGAAAACTATAGAAATATATTTGAATATAAAAGAAATATATGAAATGAAATATAAATATATATATATATAGAAATCTATAGAAATCTATAGAAATCTATAGAAATCTATAGAAATCTATAGAAATCTATAGAAATCAACAAAAATATAACGAAATGTATAGAAATATATAGAAATATAAAGCAAATATAAAGCAAATCTATAGAAATATATTTGAATATATAGAAATATATGAGAATCTAAATGAAATGTATAAATTTCTATAAAAATTTATTGAAATATATGAAAAAATATATAGAAATGTAAAAAATGTATAGAAATGGTATAATATACCAATAAAACTATAAGTTATATCCATATTGTCACAAATAAATTGATAGAAACCATACGTTCGACGGTTTCTAGTACTGTAAATGACCCATTGATTGTCTTCGTGGTCAAAAACATATATAGGGGGTAGGCCGTGGCTGGCACCCTGAAGTAGTACTATTGCTCAAAATATATGATATCCATATGATTTTGTCAATATATGTTGGAAATAAATTAATTGTATAGATATATGAAAATATATATGAAAATGGTATAATATACCATATATATATATGAATTATATCTATATAGCCAAAAATAAATGTATAGAAATCTAAGGAAATCTATACAAATCTATACATATCCATAGAAAAATATAGAAATGAATAAAATAATATATAGAAATATATGGAAATAAAAGGCAAATATATAGAAATCTATAGATATCTATAGAAAACTATGGAAATATATATGAAAATAAAGGAATATATGGAAATAATAAGGAAATATGAAGGAAATGTATAGAAATGTATAGAAATCCATAGAAATCTATAGAAAACCATGCGTTCGTTGGTTTCTAGTACTGTAAATGACCCATCGAATGTCTTCGTGGTCAAAAACATATATAGGGGGTAGACCGTGGCTGGCACCCTGAAGTAGTACTATTGCTCAAAACTTATGATATCCATATGATTTTGTCAATATATGTTGGAAATAAATTAATTGTATAGATATATGAAAATATATATGAAAATGGTATAATATACCATATATATATATGAATTATATCTATATAGCCAAAAATAAATGTATAGAAATCTAAGGAAATCTATACAAATCTATACATATCCATAGAAAAATATAGAAATGAATAAAAAAATATATAGAAATATATGGAAATAAAAGGCACAAATACGTCTTATTGATTCAGTGGTCGCAGCAAAAGTGAGTTTATTCGTTTCCAAATTATGCGTGCTTAGCCTATTTCACAAGAGTGGAACTTAAGCTGATCGTACGTGCGAGACCGAGATAGACATAGTGTTCGGTTGACAATAGGTTTCGCACAAGATTAAAGGAGACATATATAGGTTATAATAATTGTGGAACTTATCTTAGAGTATGTATTTACAATAGGATCCTTAGTACTTAAGTGTAGGTGTATATGTACATGTGTGTATGACTGCTTGCTACAATTCGGCCATCCTGACCGGAGAGCTCCTGATCTCTTAACTATTAACATTATTGATCCATGGGCGAATATTCGATATTGCCCAAACTCCCTTGTAAGGAAGTCTCGACTGTTGAAAACCTTCACAATCCTCCAAGACATATCTATCATTACGCAGTGCTTTAGTTACTCTATAAGGACCTTTAAACTTTGGTATTAGTTTTTTCGACGCTCCTATGTGAGAGTCGAAATTTTTAATCATTACTAAATCCTCTTGCTCATACCTGTGAGGCTGTTTTCTATTAGAGTCTGTTCGCAACTTATTGTACTCTTGTAACTTTTCAATGCTCTTACTGGCTTTTTGTCTAATTTTCTCCAAGTTTCTAATTTCACTATCCTTATTTAATTCTTCCAAACTTTCCTTCAAGCTATCTATGACTTTGCCCTTTTGAGACACTCCGAACAAAACCTGACTTGGATGTTGATTTATCGATCTTTGAACTGTATTATTAAGAGCATGTTCAACCGTTCCTAAAACTGTATCCCAGTAACATCCTTTCCCTGGTTCGGTCAATTTAGCAATCATGGGGCCAATGCTTCTATTTACTCTTTCGACTTGACCATTTGCCTGCGGAGATCCAGTAGCTATTTTTATGTGCTTAACGTTGTTTTCCTCTAAGAAATCCTGAAATTCTTTGGATGTAAAGCATGTTCCCCGGTCTGAAATCACACATTTTGGCCTACTATAAGCCCTAAAATAGTCTTTTAACGCTAAAATTGCTTCCCTGGATTTTGTGGTTTTAGCTGGATAAAGTCTTACAAATTTCGTAAACGCATCTATAATTACTAATACGTGCTTGTTAGATCTACTTTTATCTACAGGGCCATAATGATCAATGTGTATTACGTCAAAGGGAGTGGTTTCTTTGGGAATGTTGTGAAGAAAACCTTCCTTTTTTCCAGACTTTTCTGAATAGGCAATACATTTCAGGCAATTATTAATGTGTAGCTTGCATTTTTCTCTAACTTTTGGGAACCAGTAGCTTTTTGAAATCACTTCTACCATTTTATCTATACCAACGTGTCCTAACTGATCATGATAACTAAACAAAACATGTCTTTCCATTTCGCTTGGTACATAAAATAAAAGAGCTTCCTTATCCTTTTTCCTGTAAACTATTCCATTACGCATTTCATAATCTTTGAGTTCTTCTCTTTGCAACTTTTCAACAATGCTTTTTATTTCCTTATCTCTACTCTGACAAATAATTAAGTTTTCTTCAAAGGAGTTAGAATCTATCGTGAGTATGTGTGTGTTTCTACTCAGTGCATCCACGTGTTGCATGCGTTTTCCAGCTCTATGTTCTAGACTATAGTCGTAATCCTGAAGAAATAGCGCCCACCTTGCTATCCTCGGGCATAGTTCTTTTTTGTTTAACGCCAGGGTAAATGCACTACAGTCTGTAACTATTTTAAACGATATTCCCTGAAGGTAAATCCTAAACCGTTGTAAGGAGTAAACTACTGCGAGATTTCTAGCTCGAAACTATGGTATTTCGCTTCCACGTCTGTCGTGCGTTTAGAAAAATAGAACACCGGGTGAAATTTATCGTCTTTCTTTTTCTGCATCAGAATTGAGCCGAAACCTAAGGCGCTAGCATCACAATGTAGTTCTGTCGGATCTGTCGGATTATACAATGCCAAAATAGGGGCTTCTAAAAGATTTCTTTTTAACATGTCGAAGCATTCTAGTTCTGTCCCACCAAAATCAAATTTCTTATCTTTTCTTACCAGATCGTATAATGGCTTTGCTTTTGTTGAAAAATCTTTTACAAATCGTCTAAAATAAGAACACAGACCCAGAAAGCTCTGAACTTCATGCGTTTTTGTTGGTACAGGAAAATCTCTTACCGCTTGCATACCTTTTGAATCAGGTTTAATACCCTTTCCTGATATTATGTACCCTAAATACTTAATTTCACTTTGAAGAAATTCGCACTTGTCTAACCTTAGTTCGAGTTTGTTGTCTACCAATCGCTTAAATACTTCAGTTAATATTTCTAAATGACTCTTACTATCTTCCGTTGCTATCAAAATGTCGTCCATGTAAATAAGAACCTTATCTTCTTTAACTAAATCAGCAAAAATTTTATTTACAAATCTTTGGAACACTGCAGGGGCGTTTCGTAATCCAAACGGCATTCTAAGCCATTCATATTGGCCCATTGGCGTTGTGAAGGCGGTAAACTTAACGGAATCTTCATGCATATGCACGTGGAAAAACCCGTTTTTGAGATCTAACTTGGTAAAAAGGATTTTTTCTGAAAGTTTATCAATTAGGTCGTCTATTAAGGGGGTGGGGTAATTATCTTTTAACATATTTTTGTTAAGTGTTCGATAGTCTACGCACATTCTTAACTCTCCAGACTTTTTCTTAACTAGTACTATTGGTGAAGCATATTCCGACTCGCTTCCCCGTATGATACCATTTCTAATATAATCATCTAACAAATTCTGCACTTGACCTTTTTCTGTGTATGACAATCGTCTTGGAGGGTAATTAAACGGTTTCGTCTTGTCAAAATTTAGTTTCATTTCCCATTTAACTAAGGGGGTCTCTGGCCGTTTCGCTTTTATATAATATTTATCAAAAATGTTAATAAGACTGTTCTTTAAACTAAACTCGCACTTTTCACTTATATTTAATTGGTTGCATTCAGTTGGAATGGGGTATTCAATTGACAATATTTCAGACTCGAATTGCTCGCTTAAATTTGGACTTGACTCTACCGTATCTTTTGAACTACTTAATTTGCTTGTATTTTCGTTACATTGCTCATTGCTCTCCAATTCAACATTAACTTTACTCTTAGACTTTTTAATTTTATCTATCTTCCTATCATTTTCAATTCTATCATCAGACCGATCCATTCTTGTAACAACACAACTATTCTTAAATTTGTTATCAAAATCTATTCTATTACAGTTCAAAAAATTATTTTCAGTAATCCTATCATTTGAGCAATCGTTTTCCATACTTCTATAATTTGAGCAATCATTTTCCATAATTCTATCATTTGAGCAATCATTTTCCATAATTCTATCATTTGAGCAATCATTTTTCATAATTCTATCATTTGAGCAATCATTTTTCATAATCCTATCATTTTCCAACACGATCTTAAAGTTACATGTGTTCATAAAATCTCTGCCTAGAACAGCGCAATATGCCATTGATTTGTTCGCCACAACCAGTAATTCAAAATTAAACTTTTCTTTATTCATAACAACAAAGCATGGTAATTTTCCATATATATCTAAAGGACTTTTGTTTAAGCCAAAGTAATTTTTAAGATTATTTTCACTAATATTAATAAATTTACTCTTCATTATTTTTTCAACGCATGATATTTTGATAAAACTAATCGGGCTCCCAGAATCAATTAGGCATTCTACAAATAAAAACTGATTAGGTTCTGTCTTAAAGTGAATTTTAAACGATCTTACGTATTCGTTGCTGGAAATGTTTTTCTTCTCCGTGCACTGAGCCACTAGGTGCTCCAGACTTCCACATCCGTAGCAGGATCCGTACTCACGCTTGGGTTTGCGACATACGGCTGCGAAATGTCCAACAGAGTTGCAGTTGAAACATCTATTAGTGGAGCCCAAACCAGGTCCGTTCTCGGCAGCCACTTTGGGGCGTCCAGGTGTGAACGGTGTTCTGCGTAACGAAACTTTCGTAAATGCCTGCAAAAGTTGTGCAGACGAGTTGAAGCAATGCATATGCGCTTGTTGACGCAGAAGTGTATCCGGAATTCCTTCGATAATATTGTCAATCAGCTCCTCGTCGTCCATCTGAATGTGCGCAGCTAAGCTTGTTTTTCCATTGAAATAGGTGGCGAAATCTTCAGATGGTTGCCACTTGCGCTCCTGAAACTTGCGTCGGGACATAATCTTGCTTTCCTTGGAATGAAAAGCCTCCGCCAGTTGAGTCAGCAATTCTTGAGTTGGCAGCGTCAAAATATTTTCTGTTGAGTGTAACCAAACTTGAGCGCGGTCTTTTAACTTAGACATTACCAGCATGCGAACTAGATCGTCGCTCAGTTTGTACATCTTAATAATGGCATTAAGATGAGCAATCCATGTCTTAACTGGTATTCTGTTGTTGGCAGCACCGTCAAAAACAGGGAGCATTTCTGTCACCATGGTCAGCAAAAGATTATTATTGGAAAATGATGTACCAAATCTGGCATCCTCGACGACGACATTTTCTAAATCCAATGGGACAACATTGTTATTTGGTGTGGCCACGTTGTTCTGGCCTTGTGGCATATCGTTGGTTGAAGTTGCGGTCACACTGTCCAACGGCTGACGTCGAAAAACTTCCATTTTCAGCAGCTCGTTTTCCAATTGGAGCGATTCCAACTGGCGCTTCATGGATTCCACAAGAAACTTCGGGAACGTTCTCGTTGTTTGGAACTTACGCCGTAATTTTGGCAAGCAAGCGTCGTAGCCCCGGCTTCATTGTTGTCGTTGCCTCGGTCTGCTGACGAATTGGGCCTTTCCTCGGACCCAGCTTCTGCCTCGGAAATGTCCTTGGGATCCAATGTTGGGCAAACTCCACGGGCCTCGGGAGGGACCCCATTCAGACGCGATGCGAGCGCCGCCTTGTTGCCGCTTTTCTGCATTCCGAGGTTTTCCAGCCATCTTCGCAGTTCTGCTGCACTGTAGTCGTCTACACCGATGGTTTCCATTATTATTCACTAAATTTTATTTTAATTTTTCTCGTAGGCTGAGTATAGTGCAAAAAAAAATTTTTTGTTTTTTTTTTGCAGTAATCCCACTTCTGAAATTGTAGGTGGCACAAATACGTCTTATTGATTCAGTGGTCACAGCGAAAGTGAGTTTATTCGTTTCCAAATTATGCGTGCTTAGCCTATTTCACAAGAGTGGAACTTAAGCTGATCGTACGTGCGAGACCGAGATAGACATAGTGTTCGGTTGACAATAGGTTTCGTACAAGATTAAAGGAGACATATATAGGTTATAATAATTGTGGAACTTATCTTAGAGTATGTATTTACAATAGGATCCTTAGTACTTAAGTGTAGGTGTATATGTACATGTACATGTG